CTGAGGGCCCCCTCCTCCCCCCCCGAGTGCACAAATTTTTGTGCACCGGGCCTCTAGTAGTCTTATAAAAATGAGTATTAATTTTGTTGTCTTTTCACTCAGAGGCACCTCATTAAATTGGATGTTAATTTTCATACTCTATTGCCAACACTATTTTTTTTTTTGCCAACACTATTTTTTGATAATTTTTTAACCACATCATTATGTGTTCATATTTTTGTTTAAATATTGAAGTGCAGCCCAGTCAGTGTGGCTCAGTGGTTAAGCATCAACCCCTGCACCAGGAAGTCACCAGTTCCATTCCCTATCAGGGCACATACTTGGGTTGGGGGCTGATCCCCAGCAGGGGGCATGTAGGAGGCAGCTGATTGATGATGATGTTTCTCTTTCATCAATGTTTCTATCTTTCTCTCCTTTTCCCTTCCTCTCTAAAATCAGTAAAATATATTTTAAAAAAATATAGAAGCGCAGGTTTACTTCAATGTGGAAAATACTGCCATTTGTGGAATTAGCAAAACCAGTCTTCATTTAAAACTACTAGCCTCTATGGTAATCAGCCAAGTCAGAATTACTTTCTTTCAGGAAAAAGTTTGACTTTATTCTTCAATTTAAATAAATATGTTAATGTTCATTTTAAAGGATTTGATAAAACAATTGGGAAATAAATTATTAACTGTAGTTTATAAAATTGATGGCTAAAAATCATGTTTAAAATTATATAGATCTATTATTATTATTATTATTAGTTAAGCCTCACCCAAGGATATTTTTTCCATTGATTTTTAGAGAGAGTGGAAGGCAGGGAGGGAGGGGGAGAGAGAGAGAGAGAGAGAGAGAGAAACAGAAACATTGCTGTGAGAGAGACACATCATTTGGCTGCCTCCCACTCGCACGCACCCAACCAGGACTGGGGATCCAACCTGCAACCCAGGTACATCCTTTAATTGGGAATCCAATCCTTGACACTTCAGTGTGGGGCCGGTGCTGTAACCACTGTCCCACATAGGCCAGGGCTATAGATCTAATATTAATATTATAAAAAAGTTTTTATAAACACAAGATAATACTGTTTGTCATTATATAATTTGGAATAATGCCATATAGCTAAATCCATTAGTTAATTTATTAAGTGATAAGTAGGGTAGAAGGCATATTATCTCCCTGGCAAATGTGGGTATGTGCTTGTGTGGAACTCTGACTTAGGCTAGTGGGAACAATTAACATACCGTGTATAAAAATAAAAAATAACTCTAATAATTTTGTTAGACTTCATGATCAAACTTTTTCTTACATATTAATAAAAATGATGGATTGAACAGCTAATAACTACTATCATTTTTACAAGTAGGTAGAAAGTAGTAAACATAAGTTGAAATACATAAGAGGACTGTTTATAATGGGACCATTTTGATATAAAAGGAAAACACCCCTCCCTCCTACTTCCCAGGTTTTTACACTCTGGCCATGCATTAAGATTCAGAGTGGGTGAGGAATATGCCTTTCTTTTGTAAAAGGAGGACAAGGGCTGTGATGAAAGAGGAGGTAGAATGGAAATGTACATGAATATGCCAGCTGGCTCTCAATCAGATTAGTTTTAGGGAAGATTTCTTATTGAAGTTGAGGGTCTGGAAATTTATTCCCTTAAAACTCTCTTCAGATTGATGTCCTTGCCTTGGAAAGTCTTCATGTACCCCATTTTAAAGACTGCTTGGTATGAGCTGATCTGTACTCCACTGTACATTATTCTGGGACATCATTGTAAGTGTCCTAGGTAGAAGAGGGAAGACTTGGTGTTTTTGTAAAGACTAGAGGCCCGGTGCACAAAAATTTGTGCACTTGCGGGGGAGGGGGGTCCCTCAGCCTGGCCTGTGCCCTCTCGCAGTCTGGGACCCCTCGGGAGATAATGACCTGCTGGCTTAGGCCTGCTCCCGGGTGGCAGAGGGCAGGCCCAATCCCTAGGTGCAGCCCCTGGTCAGGCTCAGAGCAGGGCCGATTGGGGAGTTGGGGCCCCGCCCCGTCATGCACAGAGCAGGGCGGATCGGGAGGTTGCGATGCCACCCTCAGTCACGCTCAGGGTAGGGCCGATTGGGGGGTTGGGGCACCGCCCCCTGTCACACACAGAGCAGGGCCCACCAGGGGGTTGAGGAGCTCCCCCCTGTCACTCACAGAGTAGGGCCGATAGGGGAGTTGGGGCACCGCCCCCTGTCACACACAGAGCAGGGCGGATCAGGGGGTTGGGGCGCTGCACCCTGTCACACTCAGGGCAGGGCCAATGGGGAGGTTATGGCTCTACCCTGTCACACACAGAGCAAGGCCCGTGGAGGGGGGTTGGGGCACCACCCTCTATCACCCACAGAGCAAGGCCGATCAGGGGGTTGGGGCGCCACCACTGTCACACTCAGGGCAGGGCCGATGG